TAGGCATATTTGCCATGCATTATTAACTTACTTTTTACTCAAGCGAAGTTCATTAAGACCGATTAAGTGTGTCGGAAGAAATCTTGATGCCATTGATAATAAAACCCATGGACAATACTACCATAGATATTTATTGCGCTAGTACTGTTCCAGATCGTCGCAATTCGTTGTTCCTGTTTTGTTGTCCACCAAAAGTCGCCTCTTGGAAATAATGTGTATCCATTAAGTGCTCCTCTATAGGCCCGACACTTCCTGTCAGTATACCTACTTGTATGCAACTTGCAATGCTCGACCCCACGACCTATAGACTATCAGCCGCTTATCAAATAGCTTCGCTGCAGCTGAAGGACAACAGCAGCGATCCTCATAGCTTCCGTTTAAGTCCCATAGAAACCTAGTGCTTAGCTTACTGCGAGTACGTACCACAGCCGGCAGCGTCGTTACAACGCATCCCGATAGTATGCGAGTAAATAGTTTTATATGACCGTGAGATATTAGGCCAACAAAACCTGACTGACTTTTATATTATACAGTGTCCTTCATTGTCCTTCGATGGCGGACCCGGGATTTACTCTTTCGGCCTGCTTCTCCCACTTGTCTGCCCCCCGCTTGCGCACGCTTCCGATAGCCATCTGTTACAGTGGCACCACGCATCACTGCACATCCTTGTGTGGCGTCAAGTGATGATAACATAGAACGCTACCTACTACAATGGGCCAAATTATGGCGTTGTGAGAGAAATAAACGGGGTTGAGACGCAGCCAGCACCTAAACGGGTGATGTCCGTAATGAATCGAAGCGACCTCCTCATTTCGGCCTGAAGTCGTCCCGATTTAACGGCCAACATCTTTCCCAGTGGATGAGTGGCCTTGCGGTGCTCTAGTGCGGCGCAGGACACAATCTTTGGACTGCTGTTGTTTCTCTCGCGGTTCTGCTTCTATTGGTTTGTACTATAGATACTGACTATAATCGCGAATATATAGTGCTCGCTAGCATATGTCTAACGGTCCACTTCACCTGGGTATGCACTGGGGCTTCCCGGCGGGCTGCGGGTTTACGGCAACCTTCCCTATATGGTCAGCTACATAACTGGTATGTTCATTTATTAACTAACGCCACTTTAGATCGTATACGCTGGTGCTAATGTAAGACATAAGCTGGTGCATCCCATGCTCTTTGGAGCAATATAAACTTATCAAAGGTTTTCTCAGCTGTTTTGACAAGCAATACAATAATTTTTTTTGATATTATTATAGATTATGGGCTTTGCCTCATACACAGCCAAATGGAAAACTCTTTTAGGTGGCAAGTTTGAATTGAAATTTCTGTCTTTAGAGTCTCTTTTTGTTTTCAATATATTTATGCCTGCATTTAAACTATCGTCAACATTACTCTGCTTGGTTCTCTACTTTTTCTCACACAGTAAAATACATTTCATACGGATTTGATCTAGAAAAGCGCCGTAACCACCGCAGTATTATTGCTCTAAATGGTAATATTATTATCGCAAGCTTGACATTTCGAACACACATAATCGGACGGCTGTGTAATTTATCTTAGGTTACGCATATGCAAGGACCTTCGTGTGCGTGACACTCCATCAATGCCCCTAGGCGATCTGCAAGAGATCTGAGTCAACACTGGAGCCGATCTAAAGAGATATACTTTTTTGCAGAGTAGTACTTGACCATAAGCTCAGCCTGACCGCCCGATAGCTCGAAGCTTGCAGGCAAGCTAACGGCTTTAAAAGTACGGCGACTTCGAGTTTTCCTGGGTTGCATAGGCGCACTGTCCTTGGGGGTTCGAAAAGCAGTTAGGAACAGAGCGCGGACATCCGCCCCAAATGCGAGCGTGAATTGCTACCTCCGTAAATACGCACCGCGCGCTAAATACGCCATCTATACATAGGCGATAGCGGTGCTTAGCGCGAGGCATGCATGATCCCATGATAAATACAGCCACGCCCGGACCTAAAAGCACGTTAGACTCTTCTTGCTGCCTGAAGCGATGTCTTACTGGCTAAGATACGTGACTTAAACACGATATGGAACAAAATATAAAGATATTAGCTGACAGACAGGGCAATTTCTCACAAGATCAGGACTACAATGAAATCGTTTGGATTTTACTTGTTTGTATGAAGAGTACATCAACAGGCTGTCGTGAAATATAATTATGGGCTGACAACCTGCCTCAGGACAGTGTAAGAATATAAATGCTCGTTTCTCAACGTTTTATTCGAACATTAGATGTTTAATTTGCGGTATTTTCACCATTTATACCTCCTAAGCTGTCCACAAGGCGCAAAAACTTTCGATAGTCATTTACAACTATCAAGAAGTACTTTAGCAACGAATAAAAGACCTCAAAATCTTTTAGGACACGCAAATAACAGCTTTTCTAACCTTATTCGGGTCTTATTTAACTTATTCGGATACAAACGCCATGTCCAAATTCGACCCCTATATATTACTATTAACAGTAGTAGAAAATAGTCTTTAGAGCTCTATGCTTATTCTCTCGGTCATGCAGAACTATTGTATTAAAGCTGATTATATAGCCTGATTTCGAAATTTCCAAGGCACGCTATATTTTTCTATGATCCAGCCCTATTCGAGCCAGTGGCAATGGTTTTCACATGAACTCCTTAATGAAGTCTCACGGGGCGCTCTCTTATGCATTTGTTCTATCCTTTGAACTCCTTTTCCCGTCGACTTCAAGTGATTTAGGAGCCTTATCCTTAAGGGGTGGGAGGCTTATAAGAAGTTTATAGACAGCGTAGCGAAAGTGAATTTCTATAGCGCTCCATCGATTGTAAGTTTCTTCCCATAAGAAGTTCTACATTGCAATGGCCATTGGATGGCTTGCATCCGTTGAATGGACCAACTTCCTTTTCCTGATATTCATGAGCATTATCTGCATCAGTCTAAACATAAAAGTCCAGCAGTAACTAGCTTTTTTGTCTCGATCGAGGCACTCGAACTATGGGCCCCTGATCATCACTAACCACCAGTGGCTTTTACCAGCTCTGGTCAGTCTTAGTCTATGCAGCTTACCCAATAAAAATTAGCGGTTTGTCCATCATTTGCATTATTGTATTACGAGTCCACTGAGGCAAATGAGTGATGTTCTTCAAGGGGATCTCGGAGATGCTCATATCGCTACCAACATGGCTAGGTGACATGTGTGAAAGGGGACAGTCGAATCGCGCTAAAAAGCAACCACCCATACGTTACTGATATAAGGGAAAACGTGAAATTTACGACAACTTAGGAAAAGTACGAGTAAAGAACATCACGCTGATACGATTCGAAAAACAACGATGCCTATACGTGTTTAGATGTTAGCTCGTTAAACTTGGGTTTGTCAAAGTCGACTCGAACACTGTGAAAGGAAGGTCGCTTTTCGAATGGGGTCCTTAGCGTACGAACTTTCCGGCTGACGCTTTCCCTTAATTGGATACGGGGCATTATAGAGGTATCATTATCGATTGAGTTATTCTAAACCGATGCGCCATCAATTGGTTCGAATATTAAGCCTTTATGGTAAACGAAGTTCAATATTGCCGCCATAATTATCATTGTGATCGTTCATTAGCACGCTCATAATTATAACGGAATTAGACTGACTCTTCTATTAGCGTTTCAGCAGAAGAACATACACTGCTATAAACCATCACGTCACAGCATATCATTATCAAAAATTCCCATTAACATTAGTCTGAAATTCCGTAATAGCCCAGACCCCTCTGAAATCGTACGTTTCACAAACACGTACACAACGTATGCGATGAATGAACGCATCGCAAGCGTTCTCTGGAATGTATGTGCACGGGGCGCCTGATGACAATCGCATACAACAGAACGAGGAAAACTTATGGCAAGATAAAGATTAGCCGTTTATTACAGATCTAGGTTCGGCTACAGTCCGCAAAATTACAATTAAAATCGCGTATTTAGCAGTCTGCGTGAGCTATATACGGCCATCGTTCGAATTAGATAAATACTAACGTGACATCAGATAGAAATCTCTTATGGCTCAGTATAGTGAAAGCACGAGTAATGCACGAGCGATGCACGGAACGCGGTTCTTCCGACGTTGATAACCAATCGTACCGCTATCATCTGATTAACCGAATATCCCGAAAGTTTTCGAATACCTGCATTCTAGAAGAAGACGTCCTTTTATATAACAAGCTCAATATCAGCATCAGATAGATGCCTATTCGTCGGCCATACCGCCACTTATCGTGGTGACGTTTGTTTGTTGTGATTTTGACGCCGCTAGTTCTCGTTTGATGTCGTCGTAAATACGCTTTGTCAGCTGGACGGACCCGTGGGTCGAGTCGGCTTGTTTGATAGGCCAGTCGTGTTCGAGGGACGCGATGCGAATCATCTATCTGGTCATTGCACTTAGTAGCGATGAGCTGACCTGTTACCCTTCTCTCGACATAGCTGCGGTAGCGGTGGCTGCTGGAAAAGGCGGGGGCATATTTTGCGGTTCGTTGAACGACAGCGCCCTTGTTTTCAACAGGGAAATGCCATAGTTCCGTGTGCTTAAAGGCTGATTGTCTTCCTTCTCTAGCAACGAATCATATCTGTTTCGCGTGTTCGCGGACAATTTCAAGGAGTATTCGCAGCAGCTTGGGGAGGCATGGGGCGACTCGATTTCATCACCCGACAGACAGTCGTCAAGTAGCACTTTTTGTCACTTTTTTGTCATCCGGCCAGATACTACTTGAGTAAGCATGCATTATACATGAGCGTAATTGGCCCACTTACGTAGTAAATCTAGAAAACACGGAATCAAGCTAAGCGCTACGGTAAGTAAGTCTTTTGTCAGGTGATACATTACACACATAGGCACGCATATATATATATATATATATATATATATATATATATATATATATAATTACCGTTGCCGGACTACCCTGCGCTACATACTACGAAGTGGGTACGTACATTCAGAAAAAAATACCGATTTTTCTGTTGTCTTACCTGGACTGGTTCCCCGAGGCGATATTACTTTGACCTGTCGTTCTATCTGTCTCTCACGTCGAACCTCTCCGTCGCAAGCTAATCGCAGATAGGAGTCACCGCTATTTACAATGGGCGGTTCGAGTTTAATGCGCAAACCTAAGTGCGAATACTGCAGCCCACTGGAGCCAGGCAGTGGCGCGTATGGTATTAGGGCTGATGCTGGGACCTTGAAGAGTAACCGTGGAGACCATCATAAGCAGCGGCAATTGGGTCGAGCAGATGAGACATCATGATTCAGGCAAAGATCGATTCAGTCGATGAAAAATTGACGAGGCGATCAGTATCGTCACATAAGCGGGGTTCACAAGTCGCCCGTATCCAGAATCCAATAACGGTCCATTCACGTAGAAGGAGGCCCGTAACCAACGGCAGAAGAGACAAACGATAACACACGGAAATTCATTAGAAGCCATGATGCCACCGTTCTAGCTGCAATGACTGATAAGCAACCATACCAAGCATGCTATCTTCTACCTAGCGCTATCATTCAAGTGGACCTTTGTCATTTATGAGTTGAAATGGTGGTATTATGGAATCGTTGTGTAAAATTGTTTGCCTACTTTACGACAAATTAATCTTGAATTTGGTTTTAGATCTTGTGCAGGATTCTTTTTCAGAAATTTTCACGGTAGTCGTTCACACCGTTATTGGCAGCTCACGCTGGAAAACCTATTTATCAAGATCAGTCCAATAAGTATATGTTGATAACGTACACTCTAATGTTATTTGCCTACTACACGTGGTGCCTCCATGGTCTGATTACCTTAACAGGTGCTATTATTCATTTAAAAATAACCTCTTTTATTCCTACCCCCATTTTTCCTTTTCTCCATTCAACCTATTGGCAACTAGATAGTTGAAGTACAATCGACATATGAACCCCTGCTCAATGCTCAATGTACACACATAACTGCTGTATCTACATAAGTATTACAAATTCTGCGGGACGCTCTATTCACGAATAACAAGGCCGAAGAAGGATACAGTATGGCAGTGTTGTTATAGCAGAGGCCGTCCCAATTTCGTCGTACTGCTTGCCAAACTGGTGATGATGACGATGGGGTTCATATTCCTATGTACACGGAGCCGAAAGAAAACGCAGTGAACTAGACTCATTGTCCGCTACAAAGTGTACAGCGTGTCTCCACTAACAAAGTGGCGTACCCAAACGATAGAGGTCAAAGTCATTTAGCCTTACGAGCGGCCACAGTCAGTGGGCAGTGTGTCCTATGGAAATCCGTATACTAAGTCAGCAAAATTGAGCGTTTCATTCATTTAGGAAAGCGGGAACGGTCGCTTGCTAACAGGACGACTGGGTTGCCAACATTAACACATTATTCCTCTTTATAGGAAGTAAAAGAGAAAATAAATTCGCTGGTATCGGCACTGCCCCAAACGAGGATCAAGTTGTATAACGTAATGGGGCAATCACTAACCTGTCTCGTAATCGTTAAGCTTCTATCAGAGTTTAAACTGGCTGGGTCAATTACATTGCTTTAGCATATCGTCCCACCTAGACAAACGCGATTTGCACCGTTCCATCTGGTTCCGAAATTGGCCTTGTTGCCGACTGAGTAGTTGGACTATATTATATCATGGCCTGATAGAGTTAGGTTTAGAGGCCAAATGTCTTATACAAGGTAAGACGCACAGCATGTGAGTTGCTTAGGAAAACTTCCATAATTAGCGTAAGTTCAAGTTGCTAAGGGCTGTTGAGATGAGGCGAAGAAACACCGGGGAGCACATAGATAGACAAAGGCGGACGGCGAAACTCGACGGAGTTGGAGGCCCAATGTGTTTACCCAAAAATGAGCAATCGACTCTGTCGATTCTCTAACTACCTGGCTACCAAGTTACATGAAGTGTTACCATAAAGTTACCCTGTTGTTATAATAAGAGATCTTTTATCTGTTGCGTCGAAAGGCACGACTTGAATTCAGGTTTATCATGTTGTCTTCTGTCCTATATTCAGTTGGCGTCCTCTTAGAAGCCGCATTGAGACTGATTCGCTATGTCTGTGAAGCTCGCGAACGTATCACGGCACTATGCAAATACGTAAATTCGTGAAACTCAACAAATCTCCCTTCGTGCTTCATACGAATTTGTTTAATGGATTCTTCTCAAAATAGCTTATGACTAATTACCTAAGATCATCGTTTTTAGCCAGGTAGATGCTAGAACGGCTGACGGGCAAATCCAGTATTCGTTTTAGTTTTTCTTGTTTAATACGAACATAGAAGTAGTACCTTGAATTGATTGTTATCTTCGATGACCCTCATCTTAGAATAGTACCCTCAATACCGCGCAATGTTTGGTCTTCATAACGACAGAAGCAATGTGCATGAAGACTGAAAACGAAATTGTCGGGCTCAACCTTAAACACCCTACTTTGCTTCCACGGTTGTAATCATCTAATATTAATAATCCATTGTAGTTCAAATATTACATAAAAATTCGATTTCACTGGCCCTGAATTTAAGGCGCGCTTACTGTGGTTTTCTATGAACCGGGAAAAACTTCAAGTTCTCTACGAGAAAATCGCGTACGACATAATAAGTTGCCGCAGACTATTACGAACTAGGGGGTGCTAATGGGCCCCTATGCATTATTTTTAACCCATCGAGTACTCGCTTTAAAGTTAATGTGTAACTAAGCTAGTACGCTTAGGAAGTATAGCACACCACATCTCCGCGTCACAGGGCAGGGGCAAATAATAATCGGTCCCCAATGACTTTAAAGGCGACAGATACGACCACGTAAAGGGCAATCTTGGGGCTAGTTAGAAAATACTATTGGTAGTTATCGGCCAGCCCGTTATGAAATGTACCCCACAAAATTGACTTGTGTGTAATTCCTTACACATAGGAAATTATGTAACTACGTTAAACAGTAGGCCGTAGCCCTTACCGTTTACGATATCGAGTGCTATGGCGTGTGGTTAGGGTAGGTCGCGCCGTTGGAGGAGCAGCAAAAAGGTGAGGACAACGTTTCAAGGTACGTTATTTAAAGATCGTCGATAATGTACTTGAGCGTAATCGCTGAAATATTTGGTCACTTTTGATAGAATATTTAAACATTAATGATAAAGCCAAATCTGTATTCATTAGGCCGAAATTCTTCTGCTAGGCACGAAAAAGGACTCCATTGGACACCAATAAGAACGCTTTGTATCACAGTACATTTTGCCAAGCAGTTCTTACTGCTGTCATAATGTTCAATGTCCCCAAAATAATACCAACAAAAGTGTGACACCTTAAAGCGATCCTTTTTATGGACCTAGTATAACCTAGATTAATACGGACCGTTAAATAAGGACGCTTGCCTTTCTTTGCTGAATCGATTACTTGAGCAATACTATTAATTTGTATTATTCTAGGTATAGGCATCGCTGCACGCACGCACGCCTTCAAAGATGCGACCCCTGACGGGATCCGTTTAAGCATTTCTTTTTACGTGAATAAAGGTTTGGAATCACCTTCCTGTCACCTTACAGCATCGAAGACTTGGTTCGATTAGGAGTTTCACTAGGGTAATTGTGACGGAGCTCCCGAACCAAAGACCCGAGCATTTAATTTAACAAAGTTTAAACTGGTTATTTCTAACTATAGTAATGGCTAAGGGCGACCAGGTGTCGCTTCTGAAGTCCTGCTAACTGGATGTAGGTACGGCACAATTTATGCAGGTAAAAAGACCTTACAGTCATAGAATTGGTGCAAGTTGTGTAGGCATCTCAGAGTACTTCTCCAAATAAAGATCTCTTTCAATTCTACTATCTTCACTTCAATGTAAGCCAGGTACCCACTGAAATATAATAGTTAAGAATCGGAAAGAAATATAACAGATAAAGTTGGCCGTAAAAAAAACTGCCGTGAGGTTAACAACTCACCATGAATCTACTGATTGCTTCTTTACAGAGATTAACAGTCATTTTGTAGCTGGAAATGCTAGAAACGCCTGTCTGTGCAGGAACGTATAGGACACACAGTTCCAAACATGAAACCGCCTGTATATGACTGGACGACTGCATATAAATAGCCAGACAACGCTTACACACAGCCGACTGCGTACGTTCGTACTCGGTAAGCTAATATTCGATCCCTTGGTGACCGTTGCAGCATATAAAACTGGTTCTCCTTCTCTGGTCGATTGTCATCGTGCACCAACTATTCCGTACGGACTACTAGTATGACGCATTAGAAATCTGGCATTGCTAAGTAGATAACTCGTCAGCCTTGTCAAAATATTGAGAACCCTCTTCGTTTGACCATCTAATAGCAGACGACAGCTAAACTCGACACGCGGCAGAATTGGTCGCCCTGAGCTGTCGACCGGTCGACGTTGCGTACTTTTGGCGGAATTTTTTCTTAGGATCGGGGGGTCTTTCACCTATAGAATAACAGAGTGATAGGGAATCGTGCTTTACATCAATAATCACATCGCTGTCCCATTGGGGAATGTAAAGATCACGATGTTGGTGATGCATCGATGGACAGACTTCTGTCGGTGAAGCTCGATATCACTAATGTTGTTAGCGTAGCCCAAGGTCCCGTTATGGTAGTCTCTAGTGAACGCTCGTATCAGAGGTTAAACAAGGAGACAGACACCCCTAAGCACCGATATAAGCTGATGGGGTAGAAGTGACTTTATAATCTGATGTCGACAGTGCCGTCGGCTCATGGTACCGAGATTCCATTAGAAATAAGTAATGCAAAGCATAATTAGAGCTTTATCTATTTTTAGCGGACCTCGAAATCAATATCAGAAAATCACCTAACAGTAGTAGTCAATAGCACAACTACGGTATGTCGCAAAGCTCCGCTGCGTCCCAAACAGTGGTGAAACTCTAAAAGAATATCAATATGCAAATGAGCTTCGGCATCTGTGGTACTGTCTCCGAACCCCTTTCCGCTAGTTACGACAATAGGCTATTACTTGTCTTTATTACTTTTTTATTATATACCTAAACCGTTATAAGAGGGTGGGTTACAATGGGACCACTGTCGACGATGTGGACAAACAGCCACTTATTTACTAGCTGTCATCACCCAAGAGAGCAGCTGTGATTAGAAACCTTGGAGGTTTGAGAAGGGGCACAAGCGATATTAGAAGATGGAAAAACACTGGGTGCAGTCTGTTTAGTATGGGGAACGCACAACGCACGCTTTTTAAAGACTACATGTTGTCTACTAGAAATAGTATGGGTATACACATAGGCGACTCAATAAGGCCTGGCGAAAACTAGGCGTGGCAACACATAACAGTATTAATAATAAAATAATTATAATAATAGCATTTGTGTGTTCAGTTTGTTGTCGCTAGTTGTCTTACCGGTTTATCGTTGATCCGCCAATTTAGCCTCGTGGCAGGCTTCGACAGTGGCGACGTGCAGTTAACATTGATGACGTCGCCGAGTGCGTACGTTATTAATCCCTCTTTGGTCGATTCCTTAATCGCTGGCGGAGTTGTTGGCATCACTAAGATGGACGACGATTGAAAAGGCCGAACGGTGAAAGAGGTCAGTGGATGCAGATGAAAGCGAACCCAAAGGGGGTGAACGAACATATTTATATGGTAAAACGTCACTCCAACGGCCACTCAGTCCTCTGCTTGGCTTTCTCTATTTAGACAGATAGAGTTATCTTTACAATCAGTTACCCTTCTAAATTCACTATGAATTATATTATGATTTTGATTTATTGATTCATTGGACATTAACTGAATGCAGCACGTGGCACAGTGCCACCTTGGGCAGGTTCTATCGTTAGCTTCCGCATCGTCGAAGCTCTACCTTGAATTTCTGCTGGGCATATACACAAGATGATAGCAATAATTTATTGTGAACGCATTTAATATCCACAGTAGCACTCTAATTTAAAAATGCCCGGGTTGTGTAATTGACCCTCCGTTCAAGATGAGTACGCAAACGTCAGCATGACCGTTCACAGCGCAATGAGCAGCTTGCCTACTTTAGACCTAGTAACAGTTTCTGCCACCTACAAGGCGCAGGAAAAATAGCATAATATTCGAAAGTTTTTTACCTTAATCATTGGCCGTTGCAACGATAATTAACTGCCGCTTCAATGTTGTTAACTTTAGATGCATCACATGATCATGTAAAGTTACAAAGTTAACCCGGATGCTTATTTTTCTCTTGGACAGACTGGTGAGTAGTTTAGTGAGGTTTGTCCGAAACTACCCTGTTCACGCTAAACTGCGTTTAGTTCTTCTAGGCAGGCACAGTAATGGGTGATATCGACAACTAGCATCCTTTAACAGGCCACCAAAGTTATTGCTGCTAGATCGACCTGCGTTCGGTACAGCGTAAACAAGCAAAGGTCGTTTGTATGACTGGCCATGTCCTTATGGCTGGCTAATCTCATACTCTAGATCCCGTCATTGATATGGACTTGATATCTTCAGCTTATATTTTGGCCAGCTGCTGTAATAGGACTTTGAATACGGCATTACATTGGAACAGGTCTGCACGTTACTGCTGTTCATAATAGAACTATTACGAAAACAGCGATGATTTACAATGCATTAATCATCCGCCTGTAGTTCTGAAGTCCTTTGCCGTTTGTTACGCCATCGACCCATCGTTGCGAAAGTTCCTCTTTCATAAAGTTACACCCGATGCCCTCGTCAACTCGATATCCATCTCCCGAGCTTTTGGTGAAACTTTTTTACGCGTTTGTTAAGTACCTGCATGTAGTTTATCTGGGCGTTTACGTTAGCGCTTTCGTCTCTTGCTCCATTAAAGCCACTCCATTCTCAAATACGATAACTTGAAGTTGGATCCGTATGTAATTATAACGTTCCCAGGAATGCTTGTTGTTAGTTGTGCCGTTAACATAGGCTTTATCTGCCAATTTATGGCAAGTATATAAAAGGCCACTTGTACCGATAATGCCAAACATATTTTAGTCATAATTATGTTTTGGCAGTACATACATAGATATATATTTCATAGATCAAGAGACTGCCCATTTTCTATGTATATGTCGCAAAAAGCTGCATACATTCTTGCCTACGTTAGTGAAACTAACAAGGGGTAAAAAGAACTGCCGATTATGGAAAACAGTTGTTTACCATACGCGCCTCCACGTCGCCCGTCTAAAACCAACACGAGACCCTTTTTTAGAAAGCTGTTCTCCGAATTATCATTTGTTACAAATACAATCAAGCTAAATCTATTTGCCTCAGGAAATAGATATAGTGTTGTAGATCTACCTTTATATATGTATATATGCATTGAATGGGCCCACGGGCTTCAGGCCAAGCTTGTTTTGTGATTGATTTTGTTAATTTTGCTCACCGATATTACACCCAGCTTAAGGTTAGTTATAAGAAACACCAATACTTGTCCTGTTATAGCTGCCCCATTATAAGCTAATGTGCTAACTTTTTCCAGCTTGTTCTGTTATGTTTACCAGGGGGCTGAGCCCACTCGTTGGTGATGCTGCATTGGCTTTTGGTGCATTTTCTGCGGTATAACTACAGAACCTTTTAGTGCTGGCTGATTCTCTTTAATTTCGGAACATGCGTGAATAGGGTGGTCTTTTTTTCTTCTATCAGTTTCTAATAATAAGTAGCTGTAAATATATGATAAACATTTTACGATCAATTCGTACAAGTTAACATATTGATTTTGTTCGTCTCAACTTGTTTATTTTGTTTTTTTTTTATCAATAATTACACATTTTACATAGATTGAGAGTACGGGTATGTCTCTGTTGGCATACTGATTTGATTTTGGGACATCACTAAAATTTTAGCTTTGCTAAAGTTTACCTGGGGCATCCGATGGGACCAATATGGTTTAGCAATTTTCGCTCAAAAATATCAATCTTTGGTATAAATATACGCATTGAATGATTATTCAACTCGTCAAGATCTAGAGACTAGTATCGGGGAAAATTGTTTGCCTTCTAAACGGGATTTTCAACCCAAAAACTGAGGCATATAACCCCAAAATACTTATCCGATATAGCCTTCCATGCCTGAATACATAGATTTTCCGAAGATTTTGTCCCAGCGTTACTTGGGATCTAGTACGCCCCTCTTTACGCCGAAGTATCAAGTTTACATATAAAAAGATGTACCCTATTTTTATCCAGCTCGTCAAAATCTATCGACTGGTCTAATAAATTGGCGTCAACAAAATGTACACTTTACGTAGGAAAATGTCGCTGATTTTTTAGTGTTTTTCTTAAAAGAATTGCAAAAATTGTCCAACTGGAATATTCGCCGTAATGGATGCTATAACTTTTTAATTAACGCTTATTAGAAATTAGCTCAAAAAAACATTCAAAGGTAGCTAGAGATGCATTTCCATTTCATTGTTACGTAGGTAGAACGCCACGTTTTCACCCATTGGAAGTATTTTTAACTTAAAAACTGAGACCTAAGCATAAAGATATGCACTGCATTTTGAATCGGTTCGGCAAAAGTTTTTCATCGGTATCATAAAACTCCATGTAAGAAAAATGCTATTGTTTAGTGAGCAGGAAAAAATTCAAAGAAAACCCCACTAAAAGACGGCGCGCTTCGCAACTTCTACATATATACAAGTATACTACAAAAAATCAGTCTTATGCACATCTTTATGCCGGATGCTACTTAGCAATCCGCCAAATATCAGCCCGACCCGATCATTTCAAGAGGCTGATTTGGGTCGGAGAAAAAAATGAATGAGTAAATAGACACCGAGTTTTAGGGAGAAGTGTGTCAGCATTCTGGACACCAAATTCGGTTCACAACAGGTATTGACGCATTATGCTGCGGAGAAAAAACGGACTACTGTTTATACTAATAGGGAAATGTATGTAGAATGTTATTATAAAGTTTGATCTTTTCCGTCGAATAGAATATCAAAGTAAATAGAAATAGTTTTAAACAATATCCATGTAGATTCCTTTACATTTTATAGATATATAAATTCTAAAATTTTCTAGATATAAAGATTTAAAAAAAAAAAAAAAAGAAAAACATAAAATGCCGTTTTATTTTAGCGTATTATTTAAGCTATGTATCTTTGGAAAATACGCGAGCCAAACTGTATGGTATACAATACGAGACAAGAACTCCTTTATCAGAAAGGAAGTAAAAATGACATAATTACAGTGATTTTGTTGCTATACACGGTGAGCTGAGCTCCGTATAAAGAGACGGCTTTCGTTATGACCACTACCTCAAATGGCTGAACTGAAAACAATACTTGCAAGTTTAGAATGCCCACCAAAAAGCATCTCGTGATAAACATCATATAACGGATCAATAGTGGCATTCGGGAAAAGTTAGGGGATGATGACATACGTTTGTTTAGCCGACCCAACGAGTGGAGCTCGGGCAATGAGGAACATGAAACGTGTGGCCTCATCAAATCATGTGTTCGTAGTAAAAACTGCTTCAGCCTAATTTCGTTTAGTAAAATGTTTACATCTTTTCTCGTGTAGCGTAAACTAGAAGTTGACTCTGCAAGGCCAATTGTTTCACGTACGACATCATTCCGATAGTTTTGTTTCGAGTTTTTGCACTAATTGAACTTTCTATGCCTGACCTTAGTGACTGATATGTGATTCACTTCTTTTTGATACCTTCTAAGGAATCAATCTGTCTTTCGCACTCTGGGTGAACTGAAGGACCAGAATCTACCTGCGAACTAGATGTGGCCTTTGTGCTATTCATGATGTCTTATGCTATCCCGTCCATTTCGTACGCAATAACGACTTAGCTTACAAATATTCATTTGATTCTTCCACCTATGTTTAATAGCATATACCTTTTAGAGGAAAATTTATATTGCCGTTCTTGGCCTGGAAATGAACCCTGGCACGTAAACTCAATGACTCCCATGTCGTTTTCGAGTAGTTTCGAGAGTATTATAGGCTACCATACCTTATAATTTCTTTAATTTAAAATCTCCTCTTACTTTCTGAACGGACTCTTGGTTAGGATAGAATCTAAATAACGCTATGGCTAACTGACGTCCTACTGCTTTTCTTTTGCAACAAGCCACTATATTATATACTGTACATTCATAATATATATACGAATATATAAGTGCATATTTGTTTGGCGTACCATTGGTGTGTAGACGACCCTTTAAAAAGAGAACATATAACGAAGCTCAAGAATTTGTTAGAAGGTTTAGAATAGGCTTAGAAAATAATGCGAGTAAATGAACGCATTTGCCGGTAGTATATTTTGTTGATCCTTTTTGCCCTTTTTAATTGGCGGCTCATCTAAAAACGCCAAAAGTTTTAAACTTACTGTAAACTTCGAGGAATTGCTCCTGGGCAACAGTCTGAAACGTTGGTCGCCCTGCCGTCACCTCACACTTGTACACACCTTCTGCTTGAAGGCTCACGCTCTGCAGGAATACGTTGCCCTCGAGGGAAATGTGTTGCTGTGATATTCGTTGGACAGCATGGTAACACATAAGATACACAATTAGTAGAATGAATAATGTGATTCATGAATAGAAAGCAAAGAAAAGAAACAATTTAAAGTTCACATTAGACTTAGAACAAATTATTTCCACATGTGTAATGTCATGCTCTGTTACTATCGTACTATATTTAACTGGTCAACAATTTGTGTTTATTACCTAGCAAATAACTGTACGTTGAGACAACGAAAGCTTTTTTTAACTATGAGCTTTTTTTTATATACGATAACCATATAAAGTCACCAAAGCATCAGTACAGGCTTACGTACTAGCTTATTTCCCAAAATCGGATTCTTTGCCTTTAACGAGGTTTGCTTTCACCCCATAATGAAACTATTTGGGTAATATATTTAGTGTGTCACAGACGTTCGAGTTCAAAAAGGAAACGTCGGGAACACATCTGCTCATGTTGGCGTAGCTCCCGGCGTGCTTCTGATCGAGCTTTTTGTAAAAGAACATTTAAATCTTGGTATCCCAGTGAGAATTCTGGCGAACCAGGGCTCTTACGAACTATACTGAGTCAGTGAATCAAGTGCCACCGCAAAACGGAAACAAATAAGATTCTGAGTGCTGTAAAAAGTTACCAATTCCGTGGTATTACGAATTTTGTAATATAAAATTCGTACGCAAAAATCATATAAGCAAGCCAGGCGTTGCAACGAGTAAATATACTGCCGACTAATCAATCGCGCCCAGAGAAGTGAAGGCTAGCAATTCAGTGCGTAAGGAGTATTTCGTGCTACGTTTTACGCGATATAATTAAAACTTGCACAAGCAGAAGGTATTACAGGGCGTACAGGGAATCACCATTTGTTTACTAAGAAACAGAACCGGATAGTCGAAGCCCACTGGAGCCGATTGAAAAATGGGGGTATAAGTGGAAGACTGTTACGGCCAAACTGGGATAGGCCTTACGATACGTACTTTCTTTTCTCAAAAAAAAAAAAACAGCTGCAAGGAGAGATGCCAGGAAACGGCAAACATGACGAGCCCTTTTAGAGAAAGGTGTAAAAGGAGATACCTTCTAATAGCAACGAGATATCCGGCAATCTCGGGACAGTACGATGTACCGGAGGCATCCAAGGAGACAACAATGGAAGACCACAAAAATGCTGCCATAATAGCTCCATATTTTAGGCCGTACAGCGAGCAACAAAAAGAGGTTTGTGGAAAGGTCGCCGATGACTCACTACAAGATTCAGTTAACTGTCAAGGATACGATAACAGGCTTGAAGTCGCGATGGTTGGATGAAGAACCAGGACTAGAGAAGGAATATCGCTCAGGGCTCCGAAAAATATTAAACGGTTATGAAACAGTTTTTTGCGCGGTACCCGTCTGCCGGAGAAGTTCTGACCCTGTCTGTTGGTAACGTGATACTGTGAAGTGTTGATGCATTGAGAATGGACCAGGAATAAAAGACCAGGGAGTCATGAAACAACAGGCGTCTGCGAGAAGCCTCTAAGTCGGAACGATGAGAGCAGAGGAGATACGCACTGGCTTCTTGAGCACCCTTTCATAAGTTATCGAAAAAAAAATAAAGCGGCATCACCGATAGCATATTTTTGATGCTCCATATCTTAGAGAAGCGGGATGGGCTGTCGATCTAACGAGCGGTCGAGACCTGCTTCAGTAAACTCGACTATTGCGTCGCGTTAATGATAAAAGACGGGCCTACCTTTTCGGACACGGAGCTATACTCGCAAAAAAGACAATTTCAAGAAAAGAAAACTTTCTATGACAGTGGCTTTACGCAACAACATGGACTTTTTTCTGGTCGCAAGGAAGATCGAAGATACAACCGAAGCTCAGCCTTCCACAGGGCATGAAGCTCCGAACACATTCCAGAGAAAGAAAAACGGCAAACGAAAATGTCTTACTATATACCGCGATCAACGGCCAAGAGACTTTATTTCAAAAATGAGTATCTTAAAGAGCGGCAAATTTACTGATCTGCTTCAATTGGCAAAAGACCGAAGACAAGGCAGATGGAAAAATGGTGTTACAAGTGTACCACAGTGACCCATGTCGCCAGAGACAGCACAGGTGACGCTGCCCATCGCTAGAGATGCGACGAAGATGGGAACTCTGCAAATTTCATGACTTGCACGGCATACCTCAGACGGTCAAGGGAATGGGAAACGGTAGAAAACAAGCTTCTCTTTCTATGAAAACAGCATCTCAAAAAGAGACCACAGCAAACTCAGCAGCGTGAGGGAAGTAGCGGAAAATGTGGCACAAAAAGAAAACCTAGCAAGGATCACGCCTGCTGCGGTAGGACAGCCAAACTAAATATTTACAGCCTTATAGGTCAATTTAAACCGGTGTCGGGGGGCGCATGAGGTTTTTGATGTAGGAATTAATGGCCGTTTTAGGTAGGAAAATATTAATTGTCAATTGGGCCCTCCGGATAAACTCAAACGATTAGTCGTTTTTAGCATTTGCGTGTACTTTCTAAAAGTTTTGGCCGCTTTGAGGCATTGCATCTTTGGGATTCATGGCCTGCGGTCAGTTCAATATTTAATTAACAACAAATGTAATTCTCACCAAATCATTGTCAATGCCAAGAGGGTTTTGGCAAAGAAAAGCTGACTCTTGCAGTCGTCAAGAAGTTACTCAATAAAGTACATCAAAAGAGACAGAGAACGCGAAAGACTCGAAAGTTTGTGTTTCTAATTTCTCTATACGTGAAGAATAGCTTGTACATGAGGAACTGAGGTGCCATCAAGTGGGCGCTTCAAAGAAAAGTAATTTCTCCTTAGCTACGGAAACTCATTTCATCATACCTTGCAGGTAGGGTGTTCAACAGTAGCCACGAAGGGCGGAACATCTTACCCGATGTACTCCAAGAATTGGTATTAAGCCCCACCATGCAGAAGTTCATATACCATGACAAACTTAACACGCCGGACCTGCCGAAAGGCGCCGAATATGTAGCATATGTGGATGACGTGGTTAGTGCCCGAGAAGAAGACAAGTCTTGCACTATTTATAAAAATTCGGACAGAAAATTCTTTTTCAGATTGCACAGGAGAAGACTTAGAGTGTTTCTTTGTTGCTCTTTGGCCGACGGAAAAAATGCTGTCTGCCTCTGGCTGCGTTAACATGATTTTCAACAAGAAGAAAAACACGGATTCTACTTTCCATGTATAGGTCGGTAGTAATCAGAGCAGCAAGTGCGCATGACCCAATCTCCACAGAAGTATCCTAGTACGTAGCGAAATTCCGACATGGGAACTACTAGCTAAGGAAAGCGCCTAGCGCTATTTCGAGGAAGAACTAGACTCCAGAACAGCACAAGAGGCTACACCGAGGAAGCGGCAAGAACAATGAGCCCGGAATACACCCCAAGATCGACTAGGGCCATAGACATGCACTCTGATTCTTAGAGTTGTCATATGGTATGATCGGCCATGCGGAAAACTCACGCATTACGTGACCCAATTCCTGACTGGTTGAGGCAAGTTTTAGACACACATGGCGAAAACTGAAAAAACACAGAGGGCTACGTGTCTCCTCTCCTTCTATTCGCATGGGTTTTCTTCGCAATGATTACGCAATGGAAGAGACTCGGAAAAATCTGGCGCATTATAGGAACTCGTACTGGACGACAGCCAAAGCAGTAAGAAGTCGGAAAAATTATAGATCGCTGATTTCGCTTTCTTCCGCAGTATCATGTGTAAGAAAGGGCAGCTAGAATGGTAAATACCACGACGAATGGGGAGGTTTTACACTCTAGTAGAAGTGCGAGAGTAAACTATTTCGAGCCTTGCGCCTGGAGGATAACGAGTAGCTGTTTGTCCTATAGGACTTTGAACAACACCAAAAAGTTAGCGCCTTTGAATGTTATTGGTAATCCAACACTTGTGCCCCGCTACGTACCGTTTGGAGTACATTCTGGTGCACCAAATAGTCCATAAACAAATTTCCCACAACTGCATAAAAAAGCGAACGCATCGTTTGAATCGAGCGTAGTCGAGAGAAAGCCGGACGACGGATCGGCGCAAGTGACTCGATGGTTTCATATTGGCCAGACATCGGCCTGTGTTTCAAATCAAAATTGACAGCCTGACGACCCGGCCCTTGGACTACCTCCTCCGAGACTTCTGTAGGAAATTGCGACCGGTGCAAGAGAATCGTCAATAACACGATCACACATTGTTCTTCCTCGGTAGACCTACGCAGAGCAGCACTACCCATTGTTGGTTCCTTCATAGCCTTATAACGATTCTTCAACAGCGCCTGTCTATGGTTTCGTACGAAATCTGGCTTCAGTCGGCCAAAGCGCTGTGAGCGCAAAACCAAATGGACCACCACTGCGGTTCAACAAAAGCCAACACCGCTGGCGTAGCAGACCCGGAATCCCTTTGGGTCAAGGGGAACATTTGTGGACGGTGGCAAGCAAGTGGGGAACGCCACTTCAATTGATTCTGTTATTTCACAGATGCGACACGAATCGAAAGTCTGGCGAAAATCTCTGCCCAGGAACGGTTTTGGATGAGAAGAAGGAAACCTCTCAACATGCTTTGAAGGTCTGTAGGATGTGCCGTTTATATATACCTACCGATGTCTGTAAGATGAAATTTAATGGATGTGATTACTTAAAGGTTTAGGCTACAGATGGTTACTGATAAAATTCCACTATACACTAATAATGTAGAGTGATAAAGGCTAACTTCCGAAAAACTTTAATTTGTAAAAATATGCATTAACTTCAACTCATAAATAGGCATATCCAATTCTAAAAGTATTTATAGAGGCATATATATCTGAAACTCGCATTGCTACGAAACCAACTTTAGAGCTGTAGGTTGTATGGCATTCCAACCGGAGGATGGGCTGAAATTAATAACGACACAAAAGTGGTCTCCACAAAGCAACAGGTTCGGGGGTGTCCATGGTGTGCTCTTTACTCTTATGTTTTACCTAACCGACAATTTATATTTTCGATTTTATTTCT